TAACCTCACTACTGCCATAATCCATAAACCAAATTTTCACTTGATTATTAGGCAAGAGCTGCTGAAGAATACCTCTATACCACTGTCCATTTCTCCTTTTGGCAACACAAAGTAGTCCAAAATTATCACAAGTAGGACTACTTTCTTGATTGATATCATAATGCAAATTCATGCACACTGTCAAGTCTTCTAACTCTGGAATCCATTTAATTAATTGACAATAAAATTTACTTGGGCTCAATGCAGATGATACCTTTACACTTTCAATATTACCTATTGGCAAAGATGGCTGCAAACTATCCAGAACATGTTGGATATCAAGTAAAGTATCATTATTATTTAATGATAATTCAGGTGTCTGATGTTGTAATAAATCAGGAATTTGATGTGGGAATTCTTTTAACATTTCTACAATAAGACAAAATGAATCCCCATCAATAAGTCTTCCTAATTTTAATTCAAGAACCTGGGATATAATTTTTGGCACTTCAAGAATAATCATGTGAAGAGGCAAAATAGCTTGTATTATACAACCTTTCACTTGTAGTCCTACTAATGACTGGAAATAATTCAAAGCCTTAGGAGACCATTTTTCTCCAATTGGTAGTATGTTTGCAAAAATACCAAATACTACCCGTGGTGGTAGTTCAAATAACTTGCCACAGGCTGAAGCAACCTGCATACTACTGACTCTTAGTTCTTCTCCACGATCTATTAGGAGCACAGTATATAGTTCATTTTTCTTTTCCAAAACTCTTCCTCTCTGCCATTCTCCAGATACTCTTTCTTCTACCAAACAAAATTCATCAATGTCCACATTCTTTTTTACTTTTGGAATATGCTGTATCTCCCTCTGCAATATGTGATAGTCAAACTCACATTCAATATTACTTCTCCCTTGAAATTTCACCAGAATGTCCTTGGGACAAATTTCTGTATGTGATATTGTCAGATCCATATCTAAAAATGTTGGTAATTGAGATGTAGAATCCATTTTCTAAAAAGCAAATAATAAATACTAATTAGCTTCTGGACAGACAGCTGTAAAAATTAAATGAAATTAACCTTATGTAAATTTGTATGTAAACACAGCCTTGAAAATAAGTATATGCCTGTATTTATCAAATTGAATGTTAATAAAAATTATATACATTGAGCAAGATAATAGAAAGATAAGCAAAATGCATCTAACTCTTCACTGCCTTCCACATTTTCAAAAAATTCTACTGAAATAACAAGAATATAAAAATAGGAATATATACATATATAAAATTGCTGTAACACAAAGAACAATCTTTACTTTCCAGAAACTAACAAATTTCTACGAGGTACTGGACAGATGTGATATAAACAGAAGGAAGCCAAATAAAACCCACAAGAGATCTCCTCTTCCTCCTGTGAGAAAACTATTTTCCCTCATGCAGACTTCTCCAACCCATATCTCAAAGAAGTGGGTGCTAGAAGCAACAGTAGATTGGAAACCAACAGGGGACAGACAGGGTCTGCACTCCCTACTCTAAATCAATTAGTAATATTTGGACCTGTCAGCATCATTATACAAACTAGGATCCTTCTTGGACTGAAGGCAACAGGCTGAGTCCTGGACAGCACTAAGGAAGCCCAGCCCTGGAAAGATCGTGAGGCAGGTTAGGTACACCTAGGCCTTGTCACGGGCATGGCTGGCCACAAAAGTATGCATTAAGGAGAGTAGGTGGAGAAGAATTCTTCAGCACAGAGACAAAGATCCTGACAATTCTGTTAACTTTCTCTAGAGTGTTAGAATTTTTAAAAAATATTTTTTTTTATTGATTTCAGACAGGGAGAGGGAGAGAGAGATAGAAGCATCAATGATGCGAGAGAATATTGATTGGCTATCTCCTGCACACCCCACACTGGGGATTGAGCCTGCAACCTGGGGATATGCCCTGACTGGGAATCGAACCATGTTCATAGGTCAACACTCAACCAGTGAGCCACACCTGTTGAGCTAGCTTGTTAAAATTTTTTAAATGGCTAGGCATATATTCAGAACTATAAAATATTCCCCAAATTCCTATAAGAACCAATTCTATTATGATAGGACACAGCTCAACTTTGAATCTGAGTTAACAGCTGACAATTATCAAATTTTTTATGAGGATGAGAAAGAGAAAAACATTGAACCTAAAAATAAAAAAAAAAACGAGTAAACCACTTAAAAGAAATCAAAGAAATGCTCCCCTCAGCAATACATGTACTGAAGGAAATAGCAAAGAATTCTTTTTCAAAAGTCTGATTCCTGTTTTCTAAAAGGTCAAAAGAGAATATTGTATTTTATATGACTAAGTAGTTATTAAGATGCCACAACTAAGATTAGAAGTAACTCTATACACATAAGAAATTTAAAACTGCATGGTAAAAGTTAACACAAAATAAAGATAAATGGGGTAGAAGAAAAGTTTGAGAGAATACCCTAAAATTCAGGGGGAAATAATAAAAAGATAAAAGAGGAGCATGGAGGATAGGAATATAGGAAAATCTTATCTAAGTATAAACATTATCTCAGATATAAAATGACAGAACAGGAGACCTTTCTAAGACTTAAGACCCAAGTCCACAAACTGAAATAGGCAACTGGAAAGCTAGAGGAAGAGATAAGATTTAGGAACATCTGGGTACTGACTATGGTTTTTATTTCATTCTAAATAACTAATTTGGTGTGGCAATCAGCATGCTCTGATATATAGAGATTCCAAGCTATGCCTACTTAATCCTGGAATCTTTTAAGAATAGAATCAATGGGCAACACACTAATGATATTTATTAGAATAAACCAAGACTTCAGAACAAGAAAAGCCTTCCTAAACCACCATTATTTAAAGTCACAGGCCATTACCCAATTCCTAGACTTTAGCCAATTTATAGAACTGTAATTCCTTACATGAATGAAGACCAGCTATTCTTTTTTTCTATTGAATTCGTTGGCATGACATTGGTTAATAAAATTATATAGGTTTCAGGGGTACAATTCTATAATACATCATCTGTATATTGTATTGTGTGCTCACCACCCCAAGTCAAGTATCCTCCCATCGTTTATCCCCCTTTTACTCTCTCCTATCTCCCCCGACCCCCTAAGACCAGGTACTCTTTTTTTTATCCTCACCAAGATACGTTTTTATTGATTTGAGAGAGAAACATCAATGTGAGAGAGAAACATCGACTGGTTGCCTCCCACACATGCCCCAACCAGGGATCAAACCAGCAACCTTGTGCTGTAGAGATGATGCTCTGATCACCTGAGCCACCCAGCCATGGCAAGACCAGTTACTCTTTTTTTTTGCCTTTTTTAAAAATTTTATTATTTTTTATTAATAATCTTTATTGTTGAAAGTATTATATATATATAAGACCAGTTACTCCTAAGAAAAGATCCTGTGCTGACTTATACCAAGAACACTCTTGGTGGTAGCCATCCAAAGGGCCATGTGACCGTTTATTTACCTGAGTAAATGGGAAAAGAAAAAAAAAAAAACTACCTATAAGAATTAGGAGAAGACATGGCAATATTTTTTTCTAATCTTACATTAAAATAGTCTTTCTTCAAGAGACAAAACCTAGAGGCTACCAAGAAAAAAATATTAACAATGTTAAAACCACATAAAAAAAATAAAACTATAACGAAATTAAAATTAATATAATCTACCTTTGTTCTTTATGATAGCTTGAATCTCTTCTTTGGTTAACACCATTGATACAAAATCCTAAAGCAGATCCGTGTTGTGGAGGTGGGAGGCCAGAAGAAACTTTTGGGTGCATTAACGGATATGTTTATCTTATTATAGTGCTTTCCTGGGTGAATATGTGTGTCAAAGGTTACCAAAGTCTACACTTACTGGGCAGATGGCTGTACTTCGATTAGACTCTAAGTCAGTGGTTCTCAACCTTGGCTGCACATTAGAATCACCTGGGAATCTTTTCAAAATCCTGATTTCTAGGCATCATCCTCAGGAAATTCTGTTTCTTTGTTACTAATGTTGTGGCCTCGCCCCATAACAAAGAAACAGAATTTCCTGAGGATGATGCCTAGAAATCAGGATTTTGAAAAGATTCCCAAGTGATTCTAATGTGCAGACAAGGTGGAGAACCACTGCTCTAAGTAAAGCCGTCAAGCACACACACACCCCACAACCTAAATGCTTATTAACGATGGAATATTAGAGTAAATCACGGAGCTCTTTCATACTCTCTAATTACTAAGAAGCAGCAGCTGAGTTAAGTCTGGTGGCTGTTGTTACTGCCCAGGGCACTGAACGGAGCCTCCGCGGGCACCTGAGGGTGGGCGTGAGAATAAGGTGGAGGCGGAACTGCACCAACAGAAGGGGGTTCCTTTACCTTCCCTCCAGCGGACTTGCTGCAAAGGGCTTCTACTTCTTTTTGAAATTCCAAAAGGCAGAAAGCTGTTTGTGCGTGTGTACTGACGTATGACGACCATGAGGCGACTCGGCAAAATGGAGTTTCTTCAGGAGAGCGCTTGCACCCTGACCGTATGCCTTTGGCGCTCCGCAGGGAGGCCAGGCCCGGGACAGGCTCGGCGGGCACTGCGCTGACCACTGGCCCCAGGGCACACCCTCCCTGGACCCCTGAGCCCCTGAACCCCGCACCCCGGGACTGAGCGGGCCGTTAGGAGGCGAGGAGGATGGCGGGGAGCCAGGGGCGTCCCGCCACAGGCGGCAAAGCCCTGACCACTCTTCTGAGGCCGAAGCCACAAGGTTCAAGGGACAACGGGGAGGTGGGAGGCACATGACACCATGGAAACAATGACGCTGGACCGTCAATAACCAGAGCTTGGACTTACGGGAGCTCCGTGGTGCAGCTCCAGGAGGACCGCAGGCCCAAGATGGCGGCAGATTGCCGTCTGTTCTCGCGGTGTAGGCCCGGCGCATGCGCAGCGTGAAGACCACGTGTAGGAGCAGGCATGGGGCCGCAGGACAGAGCGTTAACAGAACAGAAGACGTAAACAGGTTATATGTTACATGTTATTTTAAAAATGCTTCAAGAAATGTGCAACAGAAACAAGCCTTTCATAAACAGTTCTATGGTATAATTCTGACCTGGAATACTTTATACAATGTTTAGAGATAACCGAAGACATGTACAATAAAATGTATCTGCTCATGAAACAGAAGGCACTTGAGTGCATGCACACACACAGATAACATACAATGTTGTGGCTTTAATAGAACAATGAATTTTCAAGTTTAAATCTTTGTCCGGGTTCATTAAAGGCTTTCAAATTTTGTGAGTCAATATGAATGCTGGAAAAAAACACCTTAAAAGATCAAAGTCCTACAAGTCAAGAGCATGCAAGCAGCACCAAGGTCATACACCATTCAAGGAAAGAGGATTCAGATTCTGTCTGTAACACAAAGGGCAGCATGGAAGCAGCCTGCTCCACAGTGACTGGTCGTGTTACAACAGCTGCTGCGCTCTAGTCCTTCGTCCGCAAGTCAATGGGCTGAAATATCAGGCATGACTGGCATTTCAATCCACTCTATAAAGAAAAGGCGTCAGTAATGTCTTCCAACCACCACTTTTGTTCATGTAAAACGGAGCGTTTATAGTATGACCTTAATTTTTGCCTCAAGAGGGATTCTACTGCAGTGATTTGGTATTTACTTATCAATTCCAACCGTGCTATGAAATGAGGAGTTCTCTTATGTTTAACATTAACCTGGACTTCAAAAGAGAAGAACTACAAAAACCTGAATGTAGCTATTCACTGGGACCCTTTCATATTTTAAGTTATCACAAATATTAGAAAATACATACAATTATAGCAGTTTTTAAAATCTCAAAATATTTCCACATGGGTAATTAAAATTTAGCTCACAATTAAAGAAATCTCTGAGACGAAAAGAATCTGACTTTGTGGCAAAACTGAAGGAGAGACTATGCCAGTGGCTAGGGTCAGTGATGTCAAATGTGAAAAGTATTTCCTGTTTGTAATGTTCAAATGTACCCATCCAGAGCGAATCTGAGATACCAAAGCAAATCTGAACAAATCTAAGATGCAATTATTTAAAAGGAGAACCCTTATGGGGGGCTGAAACAAAATTTAGTCTTCAGTCTTTCCTAATGGAAACTTGTCTCTCTAAAACTGATATAATAATTTCAAAGTCTGGGGCAGAAAACATTTTGAAGAAACATGTTAACCACACAGAGAAAACAACTTACCTAATACGCCGCTAGGTTCAATAGGGTACTCAAGGATTGACGTAGCTGGTGCCAACGTGTAGGGGTATTCGTAGGGTGTGTAGATTAAACCAGCTTCAGGCCCCGGAGGAACTATTGCAGCAGTGGGGTGAGGAGTTCCATTTGGCATGACCGCGGTCTGTATTTGTCTGATCAAAGGCATTATGGTAGGGCCAGCTGGCGTCGGGGTGCGCAGGGCAGCTGGTGGGAGAACAGGCGCAGGCCCAGTAATAATCCTTGGAGCAGCCTGGGCTGTTGCTGCAAGAGAAAAGGCAAGGGCTGCTACAGTAAGCAAAGAAATTTAGAAGGAAGTACAGAGAAAGCAGTGTAAATACAGGAAATGAGAGGGAGTAGGAAAAAGAAAGAAAAAAGCAGGAAAGAAGAAAAATAAAAGGAAATCATTAGTACATGCGCTGGTCACACACAACGCCCAAGCACACCAATCAACTGCAAACGGCTTTCCCTTTCCCAATGTGATTAAGAACAAATGTGCAAAAACTAAAAGCCACTGTTAAAAAAGAGAGAGAGACCATTAAAATAGGTTATATTTAGTGCATGTATGTGATATGTCTATGTTTTTAAGATCTCATGAGGCTAAAAAGGTGCATGCAGAAGCACAAAAGTTGCATTAAAAAATGTTGAAAAAAAAATTTTGTAATTGGAGTCCCCAGAAACAGTTTTGCTATAATTTCTAATAGAGTAGCTTCAGTTTCAAATTAAAGAATCGTTTTTATTGTATTAAGTAAGCCAACTAACCACGACTTATATATCAAGTTCCTGCATATGTAGGAATTAACTTCTCAGAGAAAAACAACACAGGGTGGGGCACAAGTAGGTTTATAGTTGTTTCGTAGGGAAATAATACAATAATAAATAATATATAAGAATAAACCCAACCCCACCACATTAACAGATCTAACAAGAAAATCTGAGTGATCATATCAATTGGCACCTAATATTTATTTTTGAACTGGAAGTGGCTTTGGGTAGTGTTATTATCATATTTCAAAATAGTCTCTCCGTTGGCTACCACCACCCACATTTTCAAGATCATTGAAGTGACCCTCCATTGCATCCAAACTCAGACCAAAATCCTTGAGTATGGCCCTTACTCAACAACAAAACACCCCACTCTCAGAGCACACAGCCGACAGATACTCCTTTTATAACCCAGCCTGGGGTGGAAAGGGCCTCCTTGTCATTCCCGAGCCCCTTCGGCCTCTCTAGAGGAATAATGGACACGTGGACATTGCCAACGAGAAAAGGCAAAGGGATAAGAGCATTCCCAGAGCCAGCCTAATTTAGTAATGAGTCAGGCTGGTCAGACCCTGTCCTGGATGGACGTGCTAAGCCATGGGAGACCAACAACAATTAGACGGTGTTGACGTTTAGGGCCTCGAACTCTCCAAATAGCCCAGGTAGAGCCCATTCTTCCATTTTTGAGCATGTGGCCTCAAAACCTTAGAGCAGCGGTTCTCAACCTGTGGGTCGCGACCCCTTTGGCGGTCGAACGACGCTTTCACAGGGGTCGCCTAAGACCATCCTGCATATCAGATATTTATATTACAATTCATAACAGTAGCAACATTACAGTTATGAAGTAGCAATGAAAATAATTTTATGGTTGGGTCACAACATGAAGAACTGTATTTAAAGGGCCAGAAGGTTGAGAACCACTGCCTTAGAGGAAGTGAATATGTTTGTAGGTTCTTAGTTACAAAACCAGACCTGATACTAATGTCAGATTATGCTGTCTCAGCATGTACTGTTCAGAACTCAGCAAAGTATGCAGAAGACGGGGAAGGGCAAATTGCAAATATCTAGTGAGGCAAAATTTTGTATAATGTAAACCAAAAAAACATTAAGGCAATTATGCTTTTATCATCCAGAAGAAATCATGTTGCATGGAGTTAAAAAGCTTGTTTAAGTGGTTAGATAGAGATCTGTTTAGAATTATGTAAAATTATTAAGTAAGGGCCCAGTTTGTAAGACAGGAAAGAACTGGCTCTCTAAAGGAAAAATGTCTAGGGAGGACTATTAATTCAGGGACTCATTTCAGAGACAAGGCAGTGGACCATAGGTGAGAAGGGACACTGGCCTGTGTCTGAAGCATTGACGTATTTCTGACCTTTCTTCCATTCACTGAGGATGCAAATGAATAAATACATAGAGCTTTTGTGAGGAAAGCTAAGTGCTTTGGAACAGTTCTGGGAAAAATCTAACTTATTTGGAGGACAAGTGTCATCTTCAAGACAAGATACATCAACTGACTCTGAATTTCTTATCATCGACATAGTGGCAGCCTTCCCTGGCCCTCACAGTCTGGCTGCATGAGGTGTCCCTCTTCTGAGTTCTGACAGCACCCTGGGCATACACTCAAAGGAACACTTAACTTATTTTTTGAGATTCTTTTTTTTTTTTTTTACTTCAGAGTGGAAGGTAGAGGGAGAGAGAGAGAGAAACATCAATGATGAGAGGGAATCATTGATTAGCTGCCTCCTGCACGCCCCCAACTGAGGATTGAGCCTGCAACCCAGGCATGTGCCCTGACCGGGAATCCAACAGTGATCTCCTAGTTCATAGGTCAACGCTCAACCACTGAGTCACACCAGCCAGGCAAGATTCTTATTTTTTTATCTGTTTTTCCCACTAGACAGTGAACTTCTCAAGAACCCAGGCATTGTTAGCATTTGTGTGGTTTTCAGTTTTCCAGGGACTCTTATCAGAGATTGGAAGGCAGACATACTTTCCCACTCTGGGAATCATGTTTCACTTTCAGGTGCTCCATAGGCCAATTGGCCCCTTTCCAGATTAGGTGATTCATTCAAAGGTTAGTGCCAGAGCTGAACTCCGCCGCAAGACCTGGTGGTAAATCAGATTGAAATATAATACTGAGTTTCACCAGTATTGGGGCTGAACTCCAAAATGAATGCTCTATACAAAACTGCTCACTGGCATGTGTTCAGTCCTTACATTGGCTTCAATCCAGATGTCTGTCTGATGGCACTGTAGTTGGGCCCCAGGTGAGCTTTCTCTGCTGTGTCCGCCATACTTATGTGAGATGCTAAAGAAACAGATTGCTCAGAGACATCTTTAGGGCCAGAAAGAATTCAAGCACCTTCCCTGTGGCCGATCTTCATGGGAGGGGTGGGGCATGGGGCAGGGCAATACAGCTATGAGAGATTCTGATTTATGTCCCAGGTCATGTACCCAGATCCCAGATAGGGAATCAGAAACTTTATTATGTTACTTGCAGGTTCCAGATTATCAGACCTAATCCTAGATAAGAAATGTGTTTTCACCAAATCTGTGGGTTATGATCCGTCCATTTACCCCCTCAGGTGGAAGTTATCACAGACACTGCCTGTGTCAGTGCAGACACAATTATCAGTTTGAAAAAAAAGAGAGAGAACGTCCATGGGTGTCCCAGGAAGCACTGGCCTGCTGAGCTGGTCATTATCTCCAGAGCAATGAGAAGGCCTTTCGGAACTCCTCCTGCCTCTGCTGCCCAGGCTCCCGGGATTAGACCCACAGACAGGAATGCACCGTTCTTAGGTCAGGAGCACACAGAGAGGAGACTTTGGAGTGAAGAGCTCATATTTGTTGAAACCTTTGCCCAGAGCTATAAACCTGTGCGCCGCGTGGCAGGGCTGTCTCTGACTCTGGAACAGAGAACAAAGAGCATATTAGTTAGTCACACTGAGGAAAACACCGAAGATGCAGAAACCAGGGGGGTGTTAATAACATCTCCCGGCCCCTCCCCGTCGGGAGAACCACCTGTCTTCCCTTCAACTCCTCCAGGGGAGATTTCTTGGAGCATTTTGGTTCCAAATCTGGGTATTTTCTACAATAAAACTAATACCAAAATCACCCCCTCAGGCCCTAGAGCAGTGGTTCTCAACCTTCCTAATGCCGCGACCCTTTAATACAGTTCCTCATGTTGTGGTGACCCCCAACCATAAAATTATTTTCATTGCTTCTTCATAACAGTAATTTTGCTACTGTTATGAATCGTAATGTAAATATATCTGATATGCTATATGTGTTTTCCGATGGTCGCAACCCACAGGTTGAGAACCGCTGCCCTAGAGATCCATTTCTAATGCTGATGAATTCAGATCTTTCCTGGAGTCGTAAACTTCAATGTGGGCAACAACCTGGAAGTCCGCATTTCACTTCATTGTGGAGGTGACGGAGTGACTTACAACCCAATATCACGAAGCCCCTCAGAGGCCTACCAATCCCTGCTACACCTGCCAGGTTCTTTAAAACATTTATCTGAGTCATAAATATAATAAATTTTCATTGAAGAAAAAAATGTCAAATTATGTGAACTATTAAAAAAAGGAAAACACTTTCATAATCCCAGCACAATACACTTTGTTCAGATTAAAAATAAAACTAACGTGTTAAATCTTACAGAATAAAAGGGGGAAATGTGGATTTCTTCATTTGATGTTTAAATCTTAAATTTTGGCAACTTAGCACATAAAACATCAAAGCACACTTGAACGGGTCCGAGGCAGGCTGTAGATTACAACAGGGCGTGAAACATTGTGAAATCAGCCCAGCTCCACGGGAGTGTGAACAGCACGGCATTCTCTGTAAGATCCTGGCAGTGCCCAGAAAACCCTGCACTCCTAATTGGCCCCATCCCGCTACCATCACTTGCAGGGCACAGCCCATACTCAGTGGAGGGATTCCAGAGGTGTGTGATATTACCCCTGAGTTCTTATTACAGACACTAAATTTCAGGCCATTAAATCTGAGAGAAAGCAACCTAGAGCAGGTGGTGATGGAGGGATTGTGCTTTGCAGATTTGCATTGACCTTCCACCGAGTAGGGGTGTCAACAGAAGCCTCCAGCTGCCCTGCAGAGGTCAAGAGGCAGATCTTCGTAGAGTGGTTTCCAGCATTATGTGAAGTTATCCAGGCTTAGAAGGGAGTTCTGGTGAGAATGAGGATCAGCTAAATGCTAAGCCAGGCCCTGCCAGCCGTAACTCCATGTACAAAGTGCTGGGTTCCCTCTGATAATTCAAATACCCACTTGGCATATACGTAGTTATTACAATATTGTTGACTGTTTTCCCTATGCTTTGCTTTACATCCCCATGCTGATTTTGTAACTACCAGTTAGCACTTCTTAATCCCATCACCGTATTTTTTGAAGGTTGCTGATATGTTTCATTGCAGATATATTTCTTTTCACTGTACTTCCATTCCTACTCAGAAATACTAAATTCTCTCCTGTTTTATGGAAAAACTAGGTAAGATATTGAAAGGGGCCTCTACTAGGAGTAAGAAGACAAATGTAGCCTCACTTCAACCAGCCACATATTTGGGGGTCCAGGCAATCACTTAGCCTCACAGAGCCTAGAGTTCTTCACGTAGGAGATTGGAAGGATACTATAGGCCCATTATTTTCCAAGTTTGTTTTGGTTTGTCTTTGACAGTTTAAAGAGAATGAACATCTGGCAATGAATAAAGGACATAAGTAGGAGATTATAACATTAGTTTAAAGGGTATGTGTTGAGCAATAATGAAAGAATATGAAGACACATCAGTTACAATGTACTTGCAACACTTTTTTGTCTCCAGGCCAACAGAACTCAGCTGCCTATTTACCACCACTCCAAATGTGCCTGAGCATGCGCCCTTGTACTTATGTCCTACACTGAGTCAGTAAAGGAGCATTTCCAGCAATTTGTTCAATGTCCACTCAATAAATAATCTTGAAAGAAAGGGAAAGGTTAGGGATAACCTTTAATCGTAAGGAAAATACAGAGTTGCGTTCATTATTCTCTGAGAAATATGTCCTCATTATAGATAGATTTCCTTTGGGAAGACAAAATGAATGAAAAGGTTGGTGTTAACAAGAACAGCTATACAGAAAGCAATGTACTGTGTGAAAGGATTTTGACATAAAAGAAAATGAAAAAGTGATTCTAATGAAATTTTATCTCTAGGGGCATATATAATCAAACTCCTCAAGTATAAGTGCTTTTTATTATATTCTTGTCTTATCCATTTGTTTGTATTTAGTATTTCATTCTAAGATTATAGCTGAATAAACTTCTTTATGTCTGTAGATTTTATATCTTAGTGGAATATTTGCATATGAATGTTTTCAACAAAGTATCAAATCATTGACAATTTATGGAACATGAAGAGCTGAATTAATAAATTTGTTTGAAGAGAGGAAAAAGCCTCATTGCTCCTGAGCTCTTAAATATTGAACGTTGTGTTTTATGAAGTGATATGAAAATGTATTTCTAATGTCAAAATACATAAACTTATGAAGGAATTAAAATGGGCTTATATCAAGGGGTTAGAGAATATGAGGCTTAGAAGATAACTTGAAGCCAAATGGGTATAGGGTCTTGAAAAACCCTATAGCTTGAGCGTAACCTCAGAGATCAATTGGTATTTAATTAACCCTTTAATCTTATTTTCAGAAAAATAAGGTTGTAAAAATCCCTCCAAATTCTTATAAACCCTTCCCAGGTGTACAAACTAGAATTGATAATGAGGAATCTGGCCTATAGACAGTGGGTAACCACTGTAGATTCTGAGTTTAATTAAAAGAATGGCACAATCATAATTGTTTGGAGGAGATCTCCTGTGGTGATTGAGGATCAGTTGGCTGAGGAGATCCTTAAGGCCAGTTCAGAGCCTCTTGTGATGGATCTGAGGTCATAAAAACCAAGACAAAGGTGATGATATCCAAGGAAATGGGAGGAAAAGGGACAGAAGTGGAAGTATGGCTTGGAGTCTGGATTTACACTATTGCTGCTGACACTGTGCCTTAACCTTCCTCACATTTCATCATCTGAAAACTGGAACTGAATTAGATGATCTCTAACAGATCTGGCATCTGTGACTAAAATGAACATCTGGAAGTAGGTCAAGAGTAGATATCGTGCAGAACTTATCCCTCTTCCTTTCCATAGAGTTCAGCTGTAAATGCCTGATCCACACCAGCCCTATCTTATTCTCTCTGTTGAGAATCTGAGAAACACAGATTGGAAATTATAGTTGAATTACATTGATGGTAGAATGCTAAAAAGCCTGTGAACTCTTACCGATGAGATCTCAAAGTTCCTAAGGACTAACTGTTTATACCTTGGAACCCATACAATTCCCTATATTCTTTCATAAAGTGAGTGAATATATTGGTGCAGCTTCTTTGGAGTGGAGGGAAATTTGATAATATCTGTCATCACTTTTTAACTCTGTGATGCTGAGCTTTATTTCCTCCCTGGCAAAATGGAGCGACCAATACCTACCTCCTAGTTTTGTTTCAAAGATTAAATGTGGCACAGTGCCTAGCACATAGTTAGTACTTAATACGTATTACTTCCTGTCTTAGTCAGCTCAGGTAGCTGTAACAAAATACTACAGACTGGGTGGCTTACACAGACATTTATTTCTCGCAGTTCCGGAAAGTCCAAGATCAAGATGCCAGCAAGGTGGTTTCATTTTAAGACCTCTTTGCTTGGCTTGAAGGCAGCCAACATCTCATATCACTTCTTTGTGTGCCCAGAGAGAGAGTGCAAGTGAGCTCTCTAGTATCTCTTCTTTTTTTAGATATAAATCTTTATTGTTGAAAGTATTACATATGTCCCTTCCGCCCCCCATTGCACCCCCCAGCACATACCCTTATCCCCCTACTGTCTATGTCCATTGGTTTTGCTACTATGCATGCATATAAGTCCTTTGGTTGATCTCTTATCCATCCTCCTACCTTCCCCTGCCTTCCCTCTGAGGTTTGACAGTCTATTCGATGTTTCTATGTCTCTGGGTGTAGTTTTGTTCATTAGTTTATGTTGTTCATTAGATTCCACATATGAGTGAGATCATGTGATACTTATCTTTCTCTGATTGGCTTATTTCGCTTAGCATAATGCTCTCTAGGTCCATCCATGCTGTTGCAAATGGTAAGTGTCCTTTCTTTTTTTACAGCTGCATAGTATTCCATTATATAGATGTACCACTGTTTTTTAATCCATTCATCTGCTGATGGACACTTGGGCTGTTTCCAAATCTTAGCTATTGTAAATTGCACTGCTATGAACATAGGTGAGCATATATTCTTTCTGATGGGTGTTTCTGAGTTCTTGAGATATATTCCTAGAAGTAGGATCACTGGGTCAAATGGCAGTTCCATTTTTAATTTTTTGAGGAAACTCCAAACTGTTTTCCACAGAGGCTGCTCCAGTCTGCATTCCCTCTAGTATCTCTTCTTATAAGAGCACTAATCCTCTCATGGTATCCCATCCTCATGACATCATGTAACCCTCATTACCTCTCAAAGGCTCCACCTCCAAATATCATCACATTGGGGGGTAGGGCTTCAACATATAAATTTTGAGGGGGACACAAAAATTCAGTCCATGGCACCATCATATGCATAAGCACAGTTTTAAGGAAGGAAAAAAATATTTGCTCAGACTGGTTTCTATTGAAACAGATGCTAAGAAATCTATTTCAGGATTTCATGTTTAAGCTGGGATTTCATTTTTTTCTAAATTGGAGAATATATTCCATAGTTTTCTTCTTAAGTCCTGAGGCAGGAACAGAATCATCCTACCAAGCATGATGATTCTCTCTCTCCCTCCCCTTCCCCTCTCTAAAAATCAATAAAAAAAGCATTTAAAAATATTTCATATTACAATCCCTTCCCAAGGTATAGAAAGGAACTATTTCCTCACTGATGCATTTCAAAAGCAAGAAGGGGTTCAGGAAGGTGCGAAGGGGTTGAGGAAGGGGTTCAGGAGGTACAATGACAATTGGGCTTTGGCCACAGGATAGTTCCGGTAATGCTTACCTAAAATGCCTCTTCAGCTTTATTGGCCAAGTATCCAAGAGGTGGGAACACACCAGGGATCTTTTACACATGAGCCTTCTTTCTGCTCTGCATTCAGTCACCTTAGTGATAATGAGAATTTTCTATTAGAATAACTTCCTTTAATCCCCAAATTTTAATTTTAAACCTTACTAGGCTAAGCCAAAAAAAGCCAGACACAAAAGAATACCCACTGTGTTTCCATTAATATAAAGTTCTAAAACCGGCAGAGCTCATCTATGCTGACAGAAGTGAGAAAAGTGGGTGCCTGATTGAGGGCAAGAACTGAGTGGGAAGGGTCACCAGGGAACTTTCTGGAATGATGTAAATATTCTATAGCTTGATGGGGGTAAGTGATTATGCATTTGTCTGAACTCACCAAACTGTGCATTTTAGAGCCATTCGTTTCACTGTAAATAACACTTCAGCTATTAACAAGATAAATATATGCATTTACATTAAATTAAAAATAATTGTGAAAAACACATGTGTGTGTGTGTGTGTGTGGTGTGTGTGTGTGTGTGTGTGTGTGTGTGTGTTTTCAAAAGATCTGTTAGAAATCTAGATTCATGTCTGTATCTAGTCTGCGGCAGTGAGCAGGAGGTAAGTCCAGAGCATCCTCCATAGCAAAGCCCTACTCTCCAGGGAAAAGAGTTTAACCAGAGCCTTACCCCACCTGGGAGATGCACCTCGCCCTGCCTCCAGTCCCCTCTACCTTTTCGCCCTTACATAAGAGGCGAGGGGTCTAAGAACCACTTGTGAAGGATACATCCCAGGGACCCAGGCTCACTAAAACACTAAGATTTAATCATAAAATTATAGATCACACCCCCTCCCGACATCAACCCAACCCCACCAACAGGGCTCTAGCTCAACTTCAAACCTGACTCTAAGGAGGAGTTGTTTTTTTAATTCCTAAAGACAACAGGGTAAACAAAAACAAAGACATACAGCAATTTGAAGTCTCTGGCACCTCCAGCTACAGCAAACATTACACACGGCACAACTCACAGCAGACCTGCATGGCTTCATTTATTTCAGTCATTCATAAATGTACTAAACTTATCATACTCTTTCACTGGACTTTCGATTGGTTATCTGGCAAAAGATGCCTAACCTCACGAATACTTTTCACCTTATGTATAAATGATGATTGTGTTATTGTATCATTTTATTTCTGCCTAGCTTACTGCTCCTGTTTCAACTGAAATCCTTTAAGGACAGGGACTGTGTTTTACTTTTCTGTACCTTCATAGATGGCCTAACTCAGAGCTGGCTGTGTGAATTTAGCAAATGAATATTTCTTTTCTTGCTCTGGCTGGTATGGCTCTGTTGTTTAGGTGTCATCCCATGCACCAAAAGGTCACTGGTTTCCCAGTCAGGCACATGCCTGGGTTGCAGGCTCAATACCCAGTAAGGGGCGTGTGCAGGAGGCAGCAGATCTCACATTGATGTTTCTCTCTCTCCCTCCACTTTCCCTCTCTCTAAAACGCAATAAAAAATCATTTAAAAATATTTCTTTCGCCCTAACTGGTTTGGCTCAGTGGATAGAGCATCGGCCTGTGGACTGAAGGGTCCCAGGTTTGATTCCAGGCAAGGGCATGTACCTTGGTTGCGGGCACATCCCCAGTAGGGGGTGTGCAGGAGGCAGCTGATCGATGTTTCTCGCTCATCGATGTTTCTAACTCTCTATCCCTCTCCCTTCCTCTCTGTAAAAAAATCAATGAAATATATATTTTTAAAAAATATTTCTTTTCTCATATCCTATGAATATCTAGGACTTACTGAATGCCTGCTACATCCAGGCACTGTTTGAAATGCATCACCTGTATAACTCATTTGTTCCTAGGAGATAAAACTATTTTATCCCCCTTCCGCATAGGTGGCATAGAAAGGTTGTGTAACTTACGTAGCTGCTGACAGAACCAATGTCAGATCAGCGGCTGCTCTCTTCATCTTGATGCTTCTTGCATGAACAAGGGTAGCAACAGCCTTCGGCTCTGCCCTCAGAACCACTGACCTCTTCTGTCTCCAAATACTTTGCTTGAAAAATTAAACTCTTATCTCAATACAAAGTGATAATGCAGAAAGGTGTTGGGAGAGAACACAAAACCCCGGAGAGCAAAGAGATATTTGCTAATGGCTTCATTTGGAGGGAGGGCCTTTGTTTTCCTTGATTTCACGGGTCCTGGGTTGGGAAATCAATGTGTGGAGAGACTTTTGACCTGACTTTGGACATAATGCTGCTCTTTCCCCAAAAACCTTATCAAGCATGAGTTTGAAAGGTGAGTCCTGTCATTGCAACATCATCTATGTTCCTCCCACAAATAGGGTTCTGTTTGATTTAACATTAGGGAAGGCTTCCTGGATTAGTTCTTACACAAAGACCGGATTTAGGAAGCCACATGACACTGCCTCCTCCCATTCCTTACCTAAGAACATACTGAGATGGTTAAACACATTTTACAACTGGTTCCAGAAGAATTAGTAAACAGGGAACTTTCCATCAACTGAAACATGCACTTTGAGTCCTACAAAGTTTACATGGTAATAGGTACGATAAAGATCATTCTAGAACTAACAAAGATTGTGATCAACATTCAGAGTTGCTGGGTCTTCTTCCTACCCTAGCAGCCATGCCCCCCCCTCACCTTCTTCTTCCCATTCTTACTTTCCCATTTCTCGCCTCAACTCCTCTTTCCTCTTGTCCTTTGCTTTCCAAGCACTCACAGGAAAAGAGCCTCCTATAAGTGCATTAAAAATACATATATATAGCATATATTCACACTTTGGTTTTTTTCACCCATATACTCATTTATTCATTCAACAGATTATTCAGTGCCTATTCAGTCTTACTGTCCTTACCCTACC